TACGGAATGTGTGAAGGGGCTTGTGCATAAGTATGGAAAGCACAATATTATAATTGATATTTCTTTTTTTATTTTAATTGATAGGAAAATGGTTTAGAAAATGAGGGATAAAGGTTCTAGAACCTTCCATATGATCTTGATGGCCTATCTATAGAATAGAATGCTCATATCTCTTACCCACAAATCACTCAAGATCAATGGTGCATATTCAAACTCATAAGAAAAGACAAGCCATGGAAAACTCTAAGAAACTCTTACAACCCCTTGAAGCATCATAAAAGGGGGTGGCCCCTACCCATATTTCTCTACACCATATCTCTTTTCTCTCTCTCATAAGACTCCCATAAGGGGTATGCCCCAAATAAAGTATCTCCCTCTCCCCACATAGAAATTCTCTCTTATAGCAACTTTTTCTCTCTCTCTCTCTCAACTAGGTTATCAAGGGGTTCTACCTAAATTTGAGATTTTGTTTGAAAGAAGTTCTTGTTCCATTGGAGGGTTTTGGCCTAAATTGCCTTCCGATGCTTGAGATTGAAGGTTGACTATTAATCCTGCGTCATCGAAAGGTGGTGACTTGGTATGGGGTGTAAGAAGCTCAGTTGAGATAATCTCTGACATTATTTTTATTGTTTATTCATATATTTATCTTTTGCGTCTTTTATTATTCCCAAGCATAGTTTGTATCTTTCTTTGATTATTAAAAGCAAGGTTTTGAGTAGCAACAAGTTTTAAGATCCAAGCTTTATTTCTTTTGAAGTTGATTTATTGTAAAAAGATTACTTGTGAGTGATCTAAGTCGTGAAGAAAAAGAAAAAGAAGAAAAAACAAAAGAATATATACTCTAGCTAGATCACATAAAATCACATGTAGAGGTCTTTCTCTTCGCCCTAAACTATGTTTTATATTTTGGTTATGTTTTCAAAATCCAGCCTAACAGATTCAACTAGAGATCCAACTAGTTCTAACTTGACCAAACACTCCTACCACTAAAGTGACTCGTCCGATCCCGATAACAGTGGTTGAGATTATCCCCCTCTCCAATTCAATCTCCACCCCCTCCACAAAGCGCGAGTAGGTGCAAAAGAGAATGGGTATGCTACCGAGCACATTCTTGCATCTCTATGAAATTGTCAGGTCAGAACCGCGGATCGGAATTTACAGTATACCACAGTGCAAAATACATCTACAGTTTGATCTAGACTTCGAATGTAATTTAGTAAAGTGATCCGACCAGAAAACACATCAGAAACCATTCACTCCCAAATGATGCCACATTCATTATGCCTGATTACTCTCCTTATCTCTCACCTTCTTCTCTCTTCCTCCTTCGCCATGGAGATCAAGGAAGCAACAGTGAGCCAAATTCAACAAGCCTTCAAGCACAAGGAGCTCACCTCTAGAGACCTGGTTGAGTTCTATTTGCAACAAATTAATGAGCTCAACCCACTCTTACATGCCGTCCTCAAGGTGAACCTGGAAGCGCTGGACCAGGCTGGCAAAGAGAGTGTGCCAAAGGGTTACATGGGATACCGGTGCTGCTAAAGGGTAACATAGCCACACGAGACCGGCTCAACACAACCGCTGGATCACTTGTGTTGCTTGGCTCGGTGGTGCCACGGGACACGGGCGTGGTTAGGGGGTTGAGGAGGGCTGGTGCTATCATGTTAGGGAAGGCGAGTCTCAGTGAATGGGCGTATTTTTAGGTCGTATGCTGCGCCTGATGGATGAGGTGCCATTGGAGGTCAACCTAAGGTAACAGATGGGTCCTTTTCTTATATCATTTTCCAGTTCTATGTTCTTCCCTGTATTAATTCTCAGTTTTCGTACCAGCGGCTCGAGTTGGAACGGAGTGACTCTTAACGCCACACTTTGGGACTCGGCTTGAGGCCTTCTCTAAATCATTTTTAACTGTACTGCCAAGTAAGCAGGCCTTCCTAAAATCTGGTTTAGAAAGGCAAATCGTCGATCTGGATTGACATATCAAACCGATTCTGGCGTTCAGTCCATAAAAATAAAAATTTTAAAAAATAATAAAAATAATGAGTACGAACCAAGTGGTCAAGTTCTAATGGACCGATTCCTTGATAGAATTGGGTGAGTCCATCTAAGTAGGATTGATTCATCAACGATTCCCCGTCTAGATCAACGATTCCCGATCCGGTAACAAATTTTAAATAAATAAAAAAACTACGTATTCAATTAGATACCAGATGACAGGTGACTCGAGGTAGGCGCCCGAGTCTGAGTAACTTTCAACGCTATTCTATTCTCTCTCTGACGTATAAGCATGGCTCATGACATTCTTCCCCTGTAAGTGCTTCTCTCTTGTGTTCTTTTTGCCTCTGGTCTCCAAAGAAAATCTTGCTCCCCTATGAAATTTTATCCATAAATCTCTCATTTATCTCTCTTCTTTTTTTTGGAAAGAGTTGGCATGGTGTCTAAACGTTGTCGACAGTCCACCTTTTTAAGCGTTGTAAACATTAATTTTTATTTTTATTTTTAATTTTTATTAAAAAATTATATGGATCTGATCTGCAATTTGGGCTTTAACATCATTTTTAGACTAAAAATGATCAAAAATATTTTGAATAAAAAGTATTTATCAAAATAAATTTAGAAGAATTTTAGTTATTTTTATTTAAAATATTTTTTAATTATTTTTATTTAGTTATATTTTGTAAAAATAAAAATATATCCTAAAATTTGGATAAATATATTATTTAAATAAAAAATAAAACAAAATTAATATTTGACATATGGCCACATAATGTGGACACTTCTCCTTACAAGATTGAAAATAGAAAAAAGTGGTACAATGCAATTCTATCCACCCGTTCATGGTACAATGCAATTCTATCCACCCGTTCATTGTGACGAGACATAACTTTACTGCCCCAAATTATTCCTATCAAAAACCACAAAAAAACATATTTTTTAAAAGAAAATTATCGTTAATATATTTAAATTTTAATAAAATCACAAAAAAAAACCTCAACTTCTCAAAACCTCCTTCCCACCTTTTTTTCTCAATTTTCAGCTTTTTTTTTTTTTGACGTAATACATTTTGATCTTTACGATAATTTAAATACCGTTAAAGTTATATTATGATACTTCGAGTACCGTAATAATTAATCATCTTTTTATAGCATTCTTAATACCGTAATTATTTGAATTATTACTGTAATTAAATTACCATAATATGTGGTTAAATTTTTATTGTATTATTATTACCGTAATAAGTTGAAAAGCTTCAAATCGAAGCTAATATTAAGGTTACCCCTCTCTTTTTTCTTTTGAATATTTTACGTCCTTTTTCATTGTTTCCCTTCTTCTCAACCATGTCTGACGTACCTTCAATCTTAAATATTGATAACATAAGATATACAAGATTTTTGCTTAAAATTTCTCCATATTTGGATGATAGTATTTCATTGCGCAGAGTTTTTATTCGGGTTTTCCTATTCCAAGGTTTATTTAGCAAGAAACTTTATTTTATTTGAATTAGTAAGATCAATTGTAATTTGAACTTTTTTTTCTTTAACTTCAATAATTTAAAGACAATTACAACATGAAGATGAAAGGTAACCTTGATATTAACTTCAGTTTGAAGCTTTCCAACCTATCATAAGAATACCTATCATAAGAATGACGTCCCCACACATTACATAATAATTCAAACAATTACGCTATTAACAATACCATTAAAAAATAATAATTATTACAATACTCGAAATACCATAATATAACTTCACACTATTACGGTATTTTATATACCGTAATACTATCTCAATTTGTAACGATATTTAAATTACATTAAAGATCAAAATATATTACGGTAGAAAAACTACCGTAAATAGTATTTTCATTCAAAAAAACCGAAATTTGAGAAAAAAGATATAGGCGAGATTTTGGGATGTTGGGAATTTTTTTGCGATTTTATTAAAATATAAATATATTAACAATAATTTCCCTTTCTTAAACTATTCGAAAGCATATCCAAGGTTTGCATCAGTGTTTATCCAAGGTTAGTGTCATTGTTTTAAAACTCGGATCGATGAGACGAATTGTGCACCTACAAGTTCATATTGGATTGCTGAATTAGCAATTTACATTGGGTCCAATTATGGCAAAATCATGTGAATCGTCTATGCTTTCATACCGTATAGGGAGGTTGAGGGAGGTTGAAATTAAGGAACACAAACAAACAATCGTCACATTCAAGATGTAGCCCTATCTCTAAATATTGCATTGGCTCAGACCACTCACGACCTCAATTGATGAAGCAACAATGCAGAGACCTCAATTGATGAAGCAACAATGCAGAGACGGAGTTCATAAAAAAATTGTTCCTATACTTGGAGGACCTTCGAATTCACGACTCTCTATTTCAATGCAGTCCACCATATCGATGGCTTCTTTTGCTCAAACTCAAGCGCTTGAAAATGCTACTAATGAAGATTTGATACATGTTAAATAGCGAGTTATTTTGCACCATGACAGCAAATGTTCTCCATACAACACAACTGGCAACGACTTTGATTTGAAGAATTATGCAGTGCTTGACATTGTTCTGCCTTCGATTTAGTCTAGATACATTGAAAACATAAAAAGTTCGATAATCTGCAAGTTATTACTCGCATTTAACCATATTCAATGAAAACTGGGATCAAATAACTAATATTACAAAAAAAAAATTAACACATTTATGCTTGCAGAGGTCACAAGATAAAACTATGTACAACATCTTAGAGTGGCTATAATGTTATGGTATCTTAGAATGACTATAATGAAAAACACCAAAGAATCAGTACAGTTAACTTCTCAGCATGTTTACAATGTATTAAACCCTAGAAAAAACACAAATACTAATCCCGAGACACCACTATCTGCCGAAACGAACCATCAACATTGTGGACGGGTATAAAAAATACAATCAAGCCTTCCTCAAGTGTCAATATACTAACATGGCCCTCAATTACCCAGAATCTATGAAGGGAGGGTTCAAGGCCAACAAATCAACTAACACATTCCCCACTAATCAGATTTACATGTAAGTTTATGTACATGAAAGTTCTCCAAAAGTTAATGAAATTAAGTTACCAATCAAAAACGAAAAAGGCCAACTAAGAAAACAAGAAAGAACAAGAACGATGACTGCATATTAAAAGTCCAACTATTCTAGAAGCCCACAGATGCGCTGTCCCAGTTCATGCATGTAGAAGAAAGCACTTAAACAGTAATATTGTGAAATTTTCGTGAAGAATGTGCAAGATTTTCTTTTAACATTATCATTTACAAAACTAGGCTACACAAAGTTCAAAGAACTCAAAGGTAGACCAGCGTACAGTGAAAAATTGGTGCCAACAAGACGATCAAACCAATATTTTATATATCATGTTCGAGACAGAATAATCCCAAAAAGTTAAAAAAAGAAAAAAAGAAGCACAATACCACAAATATACTGGAAATCAATTCTCTCATAATACTAAGTCAAATAACTACTTGAAAATCTAATTACCTCGACAGTCTTATCCATTTAATCATATGCATCATAAAAATAAGGCAGAATACCGCATTCACAGTGAAAAAAGAAAGTAGACCGGTGGTTGTAAATTTCATAGGACGAGACAGTTATATCTATTAAATTAAAATTTTGCAATCCCAGAGAGAAACATGTAAATCTTACTGTTACAATAAGCTTAAAAAATGACGATTGCAATTAGTTACCCCAAGGCTAATATATTTCAGAATGTAAATCCCACAGAAAACATAATGCCTGCATTCCCCCCATAGCAAAGACGTCGAGAAGCATGAAATTAGAATGGTATACCTTGAGAAAGTAGAGTACTAACCGGACCCACAAACTGCCTTAGAGAGTTGATGTGAGTTCTAATTTGCTCTGGAGTGAAATACTCAAGCAAAGAAGCACCTCTTAGCTTCTACATCCCATGCATAGTTCCTGCTTCATGATCAGCTAGTAAGATAACAGATTCCTGGTTTATTTCCATTCGGCACTCGTTTATCTCAGTGCAATCTTCATTGGTGGCTTGGGATAACAACCCATCTGAGGAAGTGAAAGAAATATCACCTTTCACCTGAGAAGTGTGCTCCATACCATTTTCCAGTTTGTTCCCTTGACTCTCATGACACAAAGGTAGGGAACTCCCAACATCAACAAAACTAGGCTCTTTGATTTGAACACCTGTTTTTGCTTTCCCAAGATCACAAACCTCTGATATTGGGTATTGCACTTCTTTGGTTAAATCTTCATTGGTGAAAATGGGTATTGCACTTCCAGATTGTTCAACCGTCATTCTTTTCAATGGATGTTGCACATCCCCCAAAAGCTCTGAGCTCATAGCCTCTTCCCTACTCCTTATCAAATCCACCTTCCCTGAATTTGATGGCTGGTTCAAAGATGGCTTTTGTTCAAATGTAATCACGTGAGTACAAAAAAAAAGCAAGCATCCTCGCTACAATGACAATAGTGCCCCCACAATTTCCTCAGCGGCTGGCAAAGGGCAAAGGGTAACGAGACAATGAACACGTTCACAACTAGAAATGTGCATCCAAAGCCTTTGTGCATTTACACAGACATGATATGCGCATTGGTTTTCCAGAGCTGAACATTTGCTGCCATGGTGCAAAATAACCAGCCATTCAATATGTATCCAATCTTCATTAATAACATTTTCAAGCGTTTGGGTTTGCGCAGAAGAAGCTATCGATAGGGTGGATTGCATTGAACTAGAGAGTCGTGAATTTGAAGGTCCCCCAAGTATAGGAACAGTTTTTCTATGAACTTTATCTCTGCATCGTTGTTTCATCAATTGAGGTCGTGACTGGTCTGAGCCAATGCAGTCTTCAGAGACAGGTCTACATCTTTAATGTGACAATTGTCTGTTTGCATTCCTTTATTTCAACCTCCCAATACGGCATAAAAGCACACGATTCACATGATTTCGCCATAATTGGAGAAGCCACCAGCTTTGACCCATCAATTCTCCATCATAACTAGTGTTCGAAACAATGACTCAGGCCGGTTATCCAGCCGGTGCCCAAGCCAAGTACTCAGACTCGGCCCAAGTCCCACTAATTCGGCCCAAGTAAGGCCTAGTTCCTGCCTAGCTAAAAAGTGTTAAAAAGAAATCCCAAAAATAGGAAAATATATTTAAAGCAAAATTAAACAAAGAACATCTAAATCAAGTTAAAAAAGTAGTGAAATTTGAAACAATCAATTTGAGAAGGGGTATTTTAGAAATGATCTAAAAAACAAGGGATAAGGTAAAAATAACTAATATTGCCAAAGCACTTTCCAATCTTTGCCAAAATGATAGAAAACATAAAATAAAAAATATATATATCACAAATCATTTAACTTTTGTTTTTGAAAATTGCTTAACATCACCAAGTGGGATACGCAACTCGGGGATACTAGGGCTTGCCACTCTGGCGAGCCCAAGTACTTGGAACTCAACCCGATTAGTCGAACACTGATCATAACATAAGGGTAGATCAAATAACCCTGTAAGGGCTACCTCAAAAATGTCAGATGAGAAAAAATTAATAAAGATGAAAATAACCAAGGAAGCCATCAAATAAATGTTTTGAAATATACTTTAAGGTACAATGGGGGCTGGCCCTTTAAAGATCCGAGGTAAAAGCAAATAGCAAATGTTCAATTGAAGATGAAAAGAACCAAGGGAACCATGTAATGACGTCTCTGTACATGCCTTTAAGTAACCCTACAGTGGAGGATTCTTTAAGAATATTACATAAAATTAAACTCATAAAAAACAGAAAATATTTATGAAATGCAAGCAACATTAGAATAGGTATGATAGTTTTGGGTCAAACAAAATTTGAGAAATAAGAAAATAACCTAGGGAACCATACAAGAAGTATTAGAGAGACATGCATAACAGTGCAATGGGATATTCTCTAAATATATCAGACAGAAAAAGAAAATTCAAGAAAATGAAATAAAACCCTAGAACCCTAGAATTCAATTGATATTTATGAATCAGACTGAACTCAACGTACCCTAGAATGAGTGTTCCTCTCATAATCTCAGATAAAAAGAGAATTCTCTTTCCTTCGACCTTTTCTCTATCTTCTCAGCAGCAGAATCAGCACAAATGTCCTCTCCCTCTGCAGTGGTATAACCTCGCTCTCGAAAGTCTCTATCCCCCTCTGCTTTCTCCTTTGAATAGAAGTAGTCCATTTGACTTAGTTAATTTGATATTTATTTACTTTGGTGGTGAGTTTTCGGTCTTTCCTTACATAATTGTCGTTTTGTATGTCGATCGCGTTTGTATAGAGCCTACGCTCTAAAAAATCAAATTAGAGCCTACCTTCAAATCGTGTCGAAAAATGTGGTTTTAATATCAAAAATCTTTGTGATGGCCTTAAAATATATTTTTATTTATTTTTATAAATTTTAAAGCTTCAAAAATAGAGTCGATCAATAAATTTATGAAAATCTTGAAAACAGACGGTCAAAAAATGCGTTTGAAAATAAATTATTTCCAAAACTTGAAATCCGTTTTCTTTTTCTCATGTCCATGTATCTTGATGTGGAAATAATCGATTTGAAGATATTTAGGCATCAAAACAACCTCTTCTAGTAAAAATTTTGATGTAGGCTCAAATTTGATTGTTTAGAGCCTCAGCTCTCTATAAATTTTTTCCTTTGTATATATCCTTGCCACTTTTATTATTGGGAATGGATCATGTCAGCCCACAGGCTAACAACTACAGTGTTAACTAACGGCCAAGATTGAATATGGGTCGATCTGACTGTTGAATATGATTTGTTCAATCTAAACTCATGCTTCTGCAGGAGAACCATTTATAATGTAAATATTGAATCTGAGTTTATCGTTACAATTGAAGGGGAGAACTAAAATAATTTTTTTGTAATGACATTGCAGTTAAGATTTTGTGTGTTTTTACTAACTGATATAAGATTGGATTGGAAGGAAGGCATATACAAAACTTGAGAATTACAGGAGTCTGAAAAAAAATTTGGTTTTCCAATTCCTTGGATATGAACCATTGAGCCATTTACAATTGACACTAGAGTTTTATTGGCCACTTCTTGAAAATTAGATACGTATTTTAAGTTTCCAGTCATGTGGTCAGTGGTTCCAGACTCAATAATCAATGTAAAAGTATTTAAATTTGCAGAATTTAAATGGGCAAAGGAATTACCTGGATCATGAGAAAAATCATATGTAGAAGATGAGCTATTCTTACCAAGTTGCTGTAAAACTTGGGTTAACTGTGCAATGGAAATATGCAAATCAGCATTAGGAGTTTGAGCAGTAGGCCTATCAATTGGCTTTTCTCTAAGAGTTCACAAATGAGGGTAAAGAAGCCAACACCTGTTTTATATATGCCCAAAAGCCTTATAGTGGTCATATCTAGTTGGTGGTCTACTGCCACGTCCCCTACCACGACCACTACGATATCCTCCAGTTCATCGCCTTTCAAAGTTATTTGAGGCATTGTTACTATTTTCGGGCTTATTTTTAGAGACAACCATGGAGGATTTTTCAGAATTATCAATCTCATTCTTAGCTTTTGGGTTCATGACCTTTTTCTTTCTTTCTTCTCTCAAAATAGTGGCCACAACATTAGAAAAACTTGGTAATTCAGAGGATAATAAAATCTGGCTTCTTACTTGTTCATATTCTGGTTTTAGAGCAGCTAAAAATTGAAAACACTTTGTCTTGTTCAACCCTCTTCTGAATGATAGCAAGGTCAGTGGTAGTGGGACAATATATAGATACCTTATCCTACATAGGTTTCATTTTTCCAAACAAATCGGTGATAGATCTATTTTCTTGTTTAACTTGAGAGATTTCATATTTTATTTGAAAATACGAGATATATTATTTTGCTGCCCATATATTTCTTTTATAGGATCACACAAGTGCTTGGCATTATCAGAATTTGCTAGAATTGTTTCTATGTCTCCATAGAATTTAAATGCCATGACATAACAAGCTGGTCGTTGGATTCTCACTCCTCAAAACCAGGATCATCTTCTTTTAGAGGCCCTTTTTTCCAGTAATATATCCTAGTTTTGGTCTTGCATTTAAAGCCATTGAAACGGTCCTTGACCACATATGATAATTCAGGCTATTCAAATGAATAGTGGTAAGTTTTATACTAGTGTTTCCTTCCGATTCATGCACAATAGCTTGAGAAAATTCAAAGTGTTTACTTTCATCAGCCATGATAAAAAAAAATGAATGGAAGACAAGGTATATTCAACTAAAGGAGTTTAGAAAAAAAGGAAGGGGTGCCTTTTTCCTTGAAAATAAAATAAAATTGGGTAGACAGTTATTTAGTTTTTACTTCTAAAAGGGAAGCACCCACTTTCCTCTTAAAAAAAAAACAAGCCTCTTTTTTGGTTTTAAGCAGTCAATTGACAAACAAAATAAAAGCAAGACCAAACCCCCACTTCATTTGGGATATAGTTATAACAACTCCCAAATTCTGGTTCACATATCGCCCCTGTATTTTGATTTTAGTGGGAAACAATGATCAACCAACAAATCGCAGGCTCCCTCTAATGGCAGCAAGACGCCTAGAGAGAAAAAGCAAATTTGAACAATACAAATCTGAGATCTGCCCACCCAAAAAAATTTGACAGAAAGAATGCAACAAGCAGAGAACAGAGAAAGACTCACAAACAGAGGCTCACAGTTGAGAACAAAGGTCTTTGTTCGCGCGCACCACAAAATATGGTCGAAAAAGATGCTAGCACCAGGAGATTCTCCCGCTCTGATACCATGAAAAGTATTAGAAGAGAAAAACTCACCACAATAAGAAAGGATTTACATGTTTCAGCTTGGAATGCTACTTCCACGATAAAGAAACCACTCTCTATTCTTGTTAGGATTACAAGAAGGTTTCCATCAAATATATAGACTTTTACATTTGATAAAGATAAAAGGTAAATTGTAATCCCTTATTCATCCTGCGATTAATATAACAAGTGGGTTGCCTTCATTCATGGTGTTGCAGATATGGTAAGCCAACCATGTTTTCTTGCTAGTCAACTTGACTCCTGGATTCTCTCAACACAACGGCTTAAATCGGAATAGGGCGAGTCTTAAGGCAACACTTTGGGACTCGCCTGAGGCCGTGTCTAAATCATTTTTTAGTTGTATATGAAAAGTTGAACTGTCAAGTAAACATGCCTTCGTAAAATCTGGTTTAGAAAGGCAAATCGTCGATCTGGATTGACATATTAGACCAATTCTCTGGCGTTCAGTCCATAAAAATAAAAATTTTTAAAAATAATAAAAATAATGATGTGAACTAAGTGGTCAAGTTCTGATGGACCGATTCCTTGATAGAATCGGGTGAGTCCATCTGAGTAGGATTGATTCACAATTCCAATAAGCAATGGGCTTGTTGGGAACCGATTCTATGTCTAGATCAACGATTACCGATCCGGCGACAAATTTTTAATAAAAAAAGACTACATATTCAATTAGATACCAGCTGACAGGTGTCTCAAGGTAGGCGTCCGAGTCTAAGTAGCTTTAAACGCTGTTCCATTAATCTCTCTGACATATAAGCATGTCGCATGACATTTTTCCCCTATAAGTGCTTCTCTCATGTTCTTTTTGCCTCTTGTCTCCAAAGAAAATATTGCTCCCCTATGAAATTTTATCCATAAATCTCTCATTTCTCTCTGTTTTTGGAAAGAGTTGGTATGGTGTCTAACAGTCACAAGCACGTTTTTATGGGTTGTCAAAATTAATTTTTATTTTTTATCTTTACTTTTTATTAAAAAATTATATGAATCTAACCTATATATATATATATATATATATATATATAGAATAAAAGTATAGATTAAATAATTAGAGTAATTTAGTTATTTTATTTATTTTAATTTAGTTATATTTTATAAAAATAAAAATATACCCTAAAATTTGGATAAATATATTATTTAAATAAAAAATAAAACAAAATTAATAGTTGGCATATAGCCACTTAATTTGGACACTTCTCTTTTTAGGCAAATTAAATGACCTTCCTTTAGGGTGAGCTCTCTCTTAATTTACAAAAAAAAAATTCTGCCCTAATTACTACTCTGTAAATCAGCCTAATTTGGAGTATTTCTATCATGGGGCAAGATTGAAAATAGCAAAAACTGGTACAATGTCATTGTACTAGCCATGTGCCTTCCAATTTCAAAAAGTGACTTTACTGCACCAAATTATTCCTATCCAAAACCAAGAGAGAAAGGGCTATGTTCAAAAGCATATCCAAGGTTTGTGTCAGTGTTTTAAAACTCGGAACGAAGGAAACGGCTTGTTCACCTACAAGTCCATATTGGATTGGTGAATTAGCAATTTGCATCGGGTCCGGATACATCTAATTGGTTATAAAAAATAAACAATAAAAAAATAAAATAGCATAAAAATAAAACTTACGCGTTTATGCAGTGGGGATTGAAAGGGACCTAAAGAACCATTAAGCAAGCTTAAAGAAAGGAAAAATTTATAAGAGGGGGAGTTTTTTGGGGAATCATTCCGAGAACTATACCATGCAAAACCTATTCGATTCTAATCGATTCCCATCCAAATGGATGATGCGGATCGAAAATGGCCGAGTTTTAAACCTCGCTTGTGTATCGTATAGAAGCCATTATTTTGTATTCTTGAATGGAGCTCCACCGAATTCGTTTGGGATTTCTTTCCGTGATGTAATTATTTTCATGCGGTTCTAAGGTGAATATTGAACTTCTCTCTCTTTTGGGTTCCTCATTTGTTGTTAGTTTGAGCAGGTCAAATCCCCAAAATTTTTGGGCCCAATAATTTTCTAAGCTACGCATTTTTTCTCACGAGAGCATATATTCTTTTCAAATTATTTGTAGGAAAATAGTTTGATAGGGGCTGCAGCCTTATCAAATTAAGTAAATCCTCACCTCATAACTTATCGAAAATTGCAAGTCAAGCGTTGAAAAACCTTTACATTGATCATCTTGACTTAAACATTATGGTTGTGAAAAAAACGAGAATTTTAAGCTCTAAAAATAGTGTATAATAACATATTTTCTAGGCTATCCATTTTGCTTTAAAAATAAGTGTTCACAGATCTGCAAGATCGATTCTACTTTTTGAGTTTCATATTTTAGTGTCAGCGTCAGAAATTGATTTTAGAGCCATTATATATTTTTGTCACCAGAAGTGCTTTCTGGATGAGGATTTGAGGTGAGGCTTTATTTTGTTTTCATAAAGCCTAGGCCTAATATACTAGCTAATGGAATGTGAATTGCACAATGTTGTGAATTGAGAAATCAAATAGAAAATAAGTCTTTCTATAGATTCAATAAAAGT